ATCTTCCCAAGTCAGGAGGACACGAGCAGCCTGCTCGACGCCTTCCCTCCCCGTGGCCAGTTTCCACGGAGGAGTTTTTTTTTCCGGTGCTGATGAAGGGACCGTTTCAGGAGATGCCCGAGCTGAGGCACGGCCCTCGCCTCCCAGTCCCACCAGTGCAGAGCAGCCCGGGGTTGCTCTGCCCTGCCCAGAGCCCTGGCACCGCAGCAGGGACTCCGAGCCTCTGCTGCCCTGATGCAGCGAGCAAGGACCCAGCTCCACCCGGCGCAGGACACACATTTAAGTCCTCGTTCTCCAGCTTCACCCACTCTTCAACAGCAAAAGCAGAAGGGCATCCCCACGGCAGAGCCTTGCCACATCCCCCGCTCCGTGCCAGGCGTAGAGACCCTCTGTAAACACCGACTGCGCCCGTTCGAAGCAGGAGAGCAAACACAAGGAAGGATGCTAGCGAGTTTTGAGGGGGAAAAGGCTCTATATTGCTCTTGAAAAACCAGCAGCCCAAGGGAAGGGAGCACTCACTCCCCTTTTTGGCTCCAGTGGGGCTCTCTGGGTACCTGCTGCGCGAGCACGTGGCGAGCGAAGTCTGCTTTCAAATAAAAATCCCTTATCCACTTCCCTAAGGTCTCACAGCAGAGGTGTGACATGTCCCGCCACCAGCTCGGAGCCACCAGCTCTACTCCTACTCCCTGCCTTGCAGCTGGCAGCCCGGCCGGCTGGCCCGGGGCTGGGGGCTTGCCCCAGCTGTGGGTTTTGTTCCTGATCAGAATGCGCGGTTGGGAATTCTCCCTGTGCACAGAGGCTGCTGCATCCCTCGAGCAGCTCTGCAGTCTCCCAAGGAACTCGTGCTGCACCTTCACGACAGCAGAGCATCACTGCAGGGACCAACCCGGGTGCTTGCCGTGCCTCTTTGTGCTGAATTTGGGATTTTCCTCACCATCCCTTTCCCCAAAAAAAAGAAGATTCAAGGGAGCAGAAAAGCCTTGAGCGAGCCAGGAAGATTGCCTACCTCCAGGGAGCCAGAACGGTGACCCCTGGCAGCAACAACCAACCGATGCCTCCCCCTGCCTTTCTCCTTGATTTAATTCATTGTTCATTTACTGTGGTAATTATATCAGGAAAGTGTAATGCAGGACACAGGAGTCCCTCAGAGGCTGCTAATTGTTGCTGGAACGAGGCCATTCGGGTGGTAATTGAGAATCCCGGCTGCTCCCACAGCCCTGCTCCCCACGGGGAATCGCTGCAGCTGAGACCATTTGGGACAAAGCCCCCACGCCGCTGCTGCAGCCCCCAGCTCGTTAGCCACCTCCTTAATTGCCTGGCGAGATCAGGGGGGTGGCAATGAAATAAACATTTTTTTTTTCTTTCTTTTCCATAGGGGAGGTGGTGGAGCTCACCCACGCTGATGAGAAAAATCACGCTTTGATATGTAAAGCGGGACCGGGGTCTTCTTGGTCATCTCCTGGGACAGGGGCTGCAGCTGGATGTGCCCAAATCCCCTTCTGCCTCCCTGGTGTCCCCAGCAGTGCTGGGACACAGCTCGTGGGGCAGAGCCCCCCCTGTGCCACCCCCCAAAAACACCTCTCCAGCTGCTCCCCCAGACTGAAGCTGAGGGTCCTGGTTTTCCCGCTGCGTGGCATCCCGCTCCCCCGAATCCTGTAAATCTCACGGGGTCATCCAAGGCCCCAGGACCCGTGACAATCTCCAGAGCTTCACTTACAATATTAAATATAAGAAAATAAATCAATTGTGGTTTCCTCTCCTTGCCAGAGACCTCCCCAAGCCTCCTGCCAGCTTCCTCTGGTGAGATTATCCCAGATAACGATGATGGGTGAATTGAGGAGATGTTTGGTGGCTCACTGGAATTGTTCCTATTTAACAAAAGGGACCAGTTTCTTACGTCCTCCTCTTTCTTTTTCTTTCCCTGCTGGAACAGCATCAAGTGAACTTCTGGGCTCAAGGATCAAGAGGTTTCTAAACTTGAGCATCCCAGCACCATGCACATCCCCACCCCAACCCGCAGCTCCACTCATCTCCACGCGGTCGGCAAGAGGTTATTTTTATGCCTTTAAAATTAAACACAGCACAATGGGGAAGAAAAAAAAAAAAAAAAAAAAAAAAGAGTATTTCTTGTGAAGTGAAGCAGCTTGGGAAAGTTAATGAGGCAAAAGTATCTGCTGACGGGAAATCTGGAGGTGTCAGGAGTGCCCCAAGGTGACAACTTATTTAATGGAGGATTAAGAAGAAGGAGGAGGAAGACGACACCTGCCCAACCATGCTGTCCAGAGTGCTTATTAAAGCCTAAAGGAGAATATCAAATTAATTATACAGGGCAGAGGTGCCATCCCATATATTTTTAATCACCTTTCATGTTGGAAAAGTCTTTCCATGCCGCTGCAGCTGCCCTTGTCGTGAGAGATGGGCCAAAATCCGAAAATCCAATGGGTTGTTCCACGGGTGACCAAAGCCCAAACCAAAGCACCAGAAAACTCGCTCTTAGAGAAATGGACTGCCACTAACCCCACCCCTCTTTTTTTTTTTTTTTTTTTTTTTTTTTTGCCTCCTGTAAGCAGGTCGGAGTGACGGGAGAGCCATGGAGAGAGGATGGGCACAGGCGAGCAGAAGAAAAACAGAAGGAAAATCCTGTTTGCGGGCAGCCCTCGGGTAGGTGCGAGTCCTGGAGCCACTGGAGCTCAGCTGGGACATCTGGAAGCCACCAGATCCACGGAGCTTCTCGGGGCCCGGTGGATTTTGCAGCCTGGTTTCTGTTCCTCCTGTCACGTTGAAGCTCCAACTAACCAAACCCCCACCCACCCACCCTCAGAGCATCTCTGCCGCCCGCCCACCCCGCATCCAGCACGCGGGACCCATCCCTACAGCGACGGTTTGGATGGACGAGGCTCGCAGGGTTTGGAGCAGGACTGTCCAGGCTGGTGGACGGGGAGGGGGGGGGAGTCTCTCCAAACCCAGACAAGACGAGGCTTGGCTCCGGCTGAGCGGGGCTGGAGACCCTCAGACCCACCCAGCAACATCTGAGCTGCTCCTCGAAAAGGACCGGTCCCGAAACCACGCCGTGCAAATGAAATCCTCACATACGCCACGTCGCTTCTGCCGGCAGGAAAGGCGGCGATTCAGCACGCTGCGTTAGCTCCGCGGCGTCCTTCAGAACAGCTTCCCACGGCCCCCTTTCGCCGCTTGGCAAGCAGAGAGCGTCTCGTCCCCTTGCCCTCCTTCCGGGAAAGGCTTTGTGTTTGGAGAGAAAGACTTCGCAAGGCTTCGGGAGGGTAACTCGCCAGGATTTTGCAGCTCAGACGCGGCGTCCCCAGCCCCAGGATCAGCACTTCCCCCTTGAAGAGCTTTGCTTTCCGCAGCCCAGGGTACGAGGCGCCTGGATGAAGGCAGCATGCTTATCGGCACGGCTAATGCCTTCACCCCGAAAATATGAATATTCAGCAGCTCCAGCACAAGCTCTGTGCCTAGGACCCAGCCGGGGAGGGGGTACAGCTGGGATCCGGGGTGCTCCAGGCATGGCAGCTCCAGGCGTGGCCACGGGGAGGGCACGGCACAGCCGAAACACCCGCAAGAGCGAGGGGGCAACTCTTCACTCAGGCTCCTTTGAAGCCCTTTGCTTCCTCTTGATGCCTCCATGGCTGGAAAACCCGAGGAGCTTCAGGGTGTGGGCTGGACATCTCCTGGGGTGCAGGTCCCCCGGCGGGCAGCAGACGTGGCATCAGCTGCTGGATGGAGCCGTTTCCCCCTGACCTTTCCTAGCAGAGGAGTTCACACCCGACTTTTGGAAAAGCCACGGGCGTTTCCAGCCATCGCAGGGAAGAAGGAAATCAAACCACCACCAAGAAGACTGATCCGCGCTGTATTTCACAGCCCCTTTCCTCAAGAAACGCAGCACTGGTGCTCAGGGGGCCCACGCGCCTCTGCCGAAACTTCGGACCCATGGCTGAAGCAGAAGGATGGCTGGGAGCACCCGGGGAGGGGGGGCACCCGGGATTTCAGCTCACCTCACACATGAGGGACCCCAGAGTCGGCTGGAGAGCCCCTCAAACGCCGCCCTCCGTGCCTAGATGCTTTTTTTTTTTTTCGGTGCCAAACCGCTCAGCACATCTGGCTCTCCAGTTCAGAGCTGACATTTTCCTGGCTGTTAGAGGAGAGAATATGGTAAAGAGCAGCCTGGGTTTGCAACGCGATTCCTGCGAGAGACGTGACATGTTTATTTTCCCCGTGCCAACATCCACATCAAACGTGTTTTCTTTTCCCGGGCTGCAAAAGGGAATATTCATCCATCCCTCTCCTATCCACCAGCTCCCAGCTCCCTGCAAACACCCAGCCAGTCCTTCAGCTCAGATTTTGGCATCCCCAAGTCCCCAAGATGCCCCTGACATCCCATTTTCCACAGGCAGAGCTGGGTGGAGATTGATGTTTCTGCTCCCTGGCATGAGCAGTAAAGTGGAAAAAAATAAAAATAAAAAAAATAAATAATAATAATAAAAAAAAATATTGAGAAACGTGATGTTTTGTGTGACCCAAATCTCAATGTTTCATTCCGGTTTTAAGTGCTGTCAGGTTGCTTGGGAAAAAAAAGGAAAAAAAAAAAAAAAAAAAAAAAGACATTAAGGAAAGGGGATAGTATTTTCAAAAACAACCCCTGCCACACGGGAACGTGTCAGCTCCTTTGAAATGTTTGCTTGTTTGCTTGTCTCCCGGAGCGAAACAGTCAGGGAATTGTTTGCAGCATTGAAAATATTTAGACTGACCCAAATCCCTGTGTTTCTGCAGCTGAAGGGCCCCCGTCCCCCCCTGGGCTCGGGATGCTTGGCCGGACACAAACCCGGGCGCAGGCGGATGCTCGGCGGAGCTCGGCTTTCGGTGCTGCTTTGTTCCTTGGTTGGTTGGTTGTTCTCGGTTTATTTTTTTTTTTTTTTTCCATTATAGACATTATTAAAAAAAATAAACTTTACAATAATACATTTTTAAGTTGTTGTTGCCATTTGAGCATTTTTTTTAAAAATAAAGGAAAAAAGGAAATTAAAAAAGCCACACTGTAGATGTATATGGTTATGTATATACATACATATATGTAGGTATAGGTGAATGGTATATACATACACTATATATGTATATATAAAAGAAAGAAAACATAGAGGAACATCCAGAGGTTTCCAACCACCAATGGGCCAGATCCCATCCCAACCCAGATTTAAAAAAAAAAAAAAAAAAAAAAGAACAAAAAAGAAAAATCTCCCCCTTGCAGTGACAGATTGAAAACATCAGGACAACCTCACAATGTTTGAATAGTAGTTTCTTTTCTCTTCCATTTTAAAACTCTCGCCGACCACGGGAAAGGAAAAAAAAGAACACCCCCCAGTAACCATGTCAAGAGCTCGAGTGAGTCCCCTCGGAGGGTGCAGAAGAGCCGCCGCCGGCACGTCCGTCCTTTGGGATGCTCCGGTGTGGAAACCTCGCCGTCCCCGCGGCCACCCCAGTGCCCCCGGGGCTGCAAATAACCTTTGCCAAAGCTCTGCTCGACGCTTATTTTCCCCCGGATTCCCCCACTGCAGGGCACATGGAGGGGGTTCACCCCGAGCCGTGGGCTCCTGCTTTAAGAAAGAAACCCAACGCACCGTAGAAGACCCTCGGAAAACAAAAACAAAAAAAAAAAAAAAAAAAAGAAAAAAAAAATCAAAACCACCCAAAAAACGGGGAAAAATTAAAATAGGAAGAAAACCACCAAAGTTTCCCAGCGTGGTGAGGGTCCTCCTGCCGCCCGGCGTGCTGGGGCTCGGTGTCACCGGTGTTTGGGAGCGTTCCGGCCCCCGAGCCGGTCCTTCCCGGTCACCCGAGAGCGAGCGTGCCGGCCGGGCGCTGCCGGTGCGCGTTTGGGCGAGTGTCCCCGGTGCCGCCGGCCGCTGCCTTCCTCGCCCCTCTATAACGCCAGCACCAGCAGGAGGATGGGCACAACGGGCAGGATCCGGCCCGCCCAGTGTCGGCTGCCGCCCGCTTTTGGGTCCACGAACGTTTTCTGGTCCGGCATGATGTCCGTGGTCAGCTGGGTCTGCGGGCGAGGGGACAGCAGGGTTTCACCGAGGACATTTTTTTTGGGGGGGGGGGGGGGGGGGGGGGGGGGGAAGTATCCAATATCTTGAAAAACACCTATTTTTACCCTCTGGGCAGTGAAGCCAGTGGTCCCCCAGCCCTGGGACCCCCCACCCCGCGCTCCCCACTGCCCCAACCGTACCTCTGAGTAGCACAGGCTCTGCTCTTTGGACTTGTTTAGCTTCGGTCCGTACTCCTAGAGAGGAGAAAGGCTTAGGGCAGGGCTGTGCACTCAGGGCTGCTCCTGCCTGGGGTCACACCCTGGGGGTTTTGGGGGGGGAGAGTTGTCCCCAAATTCCCCTGGAAGCTACCGACCCGCCCTGCAAGGGCACGGGGCGATGCCTGCAGCCCTACGCGTGGGCCATTGCGAATCATGGCTCAGAGCACACCCGGCTGGTGTTTGAAGCGTGAAGAAGCTTTGCGAAAGGCAAGAGAAAAAGAAAACAGGCTCATCCCCCCTCCCCGGGCAGCTCCGCGTCCTTGCTGGAAGGCTTCAAGCCCTCCCCACAGGTTCATCTTCGCTCCCCTACCCGTGCTCCCAGCTGCAAATCCTCCCGCCGAGGACCCTGCCCACACCCCCGTGACACCCACCAGCCACCGTCCCCCTGTCCCACTCCTCTCCTGGCAGCACTTTGCCACCCACGGAGCAAAGCGCGAAGCCACAAGCCCAGCACAGCGTGAGGAAATACATATTTTTCAGGTTTCCCATAACCATGTGGAATTCAAGCTGGTTTAACCCCAAATGAGCCAGGCCCGGGAGAAGTTGGGCTCGGGGAATCTACGCCAGCTCACCCTGCCCTGGGCACAGTGACACACCGGGCAGGGGACGATGCCCTCAGCGAGGGAAGGGGATGGGCAGGGCAGGGATCCCTCCCTTCCCCACACCAGACCCCCGGGCAGCGCCCAGACCCCCAATTACCCGGGACGGCCGGATCCTGCCGGGCACCTGGGTACCAACACCTCATCCCGACCGAGATGCGTTGCACTGAGCAGGGCTTTTTGCTGCCCGTGGGCTGCAGGTGACCTCCTGGCTGACAGATCCACCCCCCCCACCCCACAAGGGTCCAGACCAGTCCCCCCAGTTTACACCGGTGACCAGGCTTGGGTCCTACCTGGACGGAGGTGCAGGTGGTGATGATGCTCGTGTCGTACATGGTGTTGCTGTCGTTGATGTCATCCGGCAAGGCAGGGCTCTTCTCCGTCTTCGGCGGCAGGGTGACGGGGGGCGAGGGGTTCTTGGGGGAGAGGTTCACGTCGGTGCCGTTGCCGAAGGCTTGGATGGCGTTTCCTGGGGGGCAGGAGATGTTTAGGGGGGGGGGGGGGGGGGTGCACCCCAGCGGTGATGGGGCAGGGTGAGGGAGAGGAGAGGGAAGCGCCTTACGGAGACAAGGGTTTTCCGTGAAGTCTCGGAGGAATTTCTCACACTCCTCCTCCATGTTGCCGCTGCCTTTGCAGGAGCACCAGGGCGAGATGGTGATGCTGGCGGTGCTGGCGTCCACGTAGTTGGGCGTCATGTCGAAGCCTGCTCCCGGATGAGGAGAGGGAAAAGGGATGAGGTGCTGTGGTGGGAGAAACCCTTCACCATCCCTCCCGACCCCCCCCCCCCCCCCCTCCCGGCACTCACCGATGAGCCCTGCGTAGGAGCCCAGGCACGCCTGGTAGTTGTCCCCGGGGCAGCTCGTCAGGAACTGGAAGGAGGCTTGGCAATTGGTGTGGAAATCGGCCAGCCGGGACCTGGGGGCAAAGACCAAGAGGGAGAGGGATGGGACTTCACCGCCGCTCCCGGCACGGAGCAACTCGGCGGCAAGGAGCAACATAAAAAAAAAACGTAAAGATGAGAAAAGAGGATAAATGGGGTCGAGAGAGGAGAGCTGAACGAGATCTAGGCACAGGAGGTGCAACTCCTTGTCTCTCCTCCCGCCGGCCCAGCCTGCCGGAGGGTCGTGGGCAAGGGAGGGGTGCCTGCTTGTGGGGGGGTACTCCACTGGGGGTGAGCCCCTGAGCGTGGGACCCTCATTCCTCCATCCTTGGCAGCTCCCATCCCCTTTCCAAGTGCTGCTCAGCTGGCAGAGCACACCATAAACTTCACAACCTCATTTGGCCGCGCTGCTCCCGGTGTCATTACACGACTGTAAAATTTCACTGCTTGTTTTTATCTTCCCCCTGAAATGTTAAAGCTTAGAGCGCAATTAAAATGCCTGAGGTTGGGGTTTACATTTTCCTTTCTTCTTTTGCAGCTGAGAAGAGAAAAAAAAACAAGAGGAAACCTTGCAGAGACCCCAGGGGCTGAGATGCTCGTGCCCTGCCTGCCCTTCTCCTCCATCCCTGCCTGTCCCCTGCCAGACTCAGCTCTAAGGCAGAAAGAGCAGAGGTGGGGAGAACCAGCAGGACCAGGAGGAATAAAGAAGGGACAAGAGGAGCAGAGGAGCTGGTTTCCACTCCAGTCACTGGCTTGGTTACCCCTTCTCTTCTCTCACTGCTCAGTGTAATGCACAGAAAAAGTGCGAGGAGTGATGGAAGCACAGTTATTTCCAGGTGTATCAGTAATCTGGCTCTGCTGACCCAAACCCACGCTTCCCATGTGATGCTCTGGGGATTTTTCTTGGGATGAATCGAATCACCGAGGTAGAAGGTTAAAGAAATGGGAAGGAGGTAGAAGAAGACAGACAGGTGGACCAGGTGGACAGATGGATGAGCTGCAGTTTTCCAAATTGACTCAGTCATTAAATGAGTAGACACGGGGCTGAATTGTGGCCCAGGCTGGATCTCAATCACAGGGAGGAATCGCTGTGAAGCAGCCAAGTTGCTGACACTGTAGATGAGACCTTGCATTTTGCAACAGAAAACCTCCTCAGCTCTTTTTTTCCACTCTTCCTATAGAAAGAAGAAGGCATACATTATTTTCTTTAGCTTCCTTTTCCTTCCTTCTTAATTAAATGTCATCTTTGTCCAACCAGTGATTGAATCATCCAACAGTACCTGCCTAAAGCCATAAGAACTGATGAAAATAAAGGGTAGAAATTGTGGCTGGGTTTTTTGGTTTGGTTTTTTTTTTGTTTTTTTTTTTTTTTTAGACTACAAATTATTTGTTTTCAGAAGGTTCTTATCAAATTAAATAGAGGAACAAATGAAGCAGTGATTGAATGAGGTAGAAGGGATCTGCAGCGATACCTTACATCCCTCCAGCACTTTTCATCACGCCGGATCTCGAGCACACTAAAGGAGCAGGGGGCAGGTACCACCAAAATGCAGCCAGCGCTGGGGAGGAGCAGAGATGCTGCTGCTGAGCCCACAGCCAGAAGGCCACGGCACTTTCCTGGGCTACGTACTGGGGAAAGGACGTAAGAGGGAATAAAACACAGCTGCCCGGGGCTGGACCAGAGCACTGGATGCTCCACGTGGGAATGCAGCAGTTTCCTGGAGACTTTTGTTGTTTCCAGCCATCCGTGACTGGGGCTTTTTTCCAGATCACAGGGTTTCACAGCCACTGATGCAACCATCTTCTGTGGAGCAGCTGAGCCTCTTCTGGCGGCTCCCTGGTCCTTTGGGGACCCCAGCATCACCCCACAGCGAGCTCCCCGGCCGAGCCAGGCGGTTGGCAAGAGCCACCCATGCACTCGGTACCTTCTCTTTGCTGCTTCCCATAGCTGGGCATGCAGGTCTCGCTCAGTTTTTGCCTGCTGATGGGCTGCCAGCGGCATGAACTGGATTATTTTCCCGCTTACACCAGCTGCCTGACCCACTTACAGCCTCCCGACAGGCTGCAAGTTTCCAGGGCAAGGTCAGTCTCTTCATCTGGGTTATTCAAGCACTCCCGAGGAGAAGGCAGGACTCCTGGGCACCGCTGCGCTTCTCTACATGTTGGATGCAAATAAATATCAATAACGCAAGTGGCATTGCCTCTGGGAGGCAAACTGAGGGGGGGGGCGGGGGAAGTGTGCTGGGCGATATAGGGAAGGAGGATGGGCTTGGGCTAAAGCACTGATTTCAGGAAAAAAAGGGGATTCTGCAGCACTCCCGTGGCATGGGAGAGACAAGGAGCCAACTTTCTCCCTCTCCTCCTTCCTGGAAACAAAACTCACCCATCCCACGAGGAGGTTCTTTTCACCAGACCCACGTTTTTCTTCCTCCCTAGTGATTTAGCACCCGGGGAAAGAAAAACTCCCTACGACAGCGGTGCAGAGAGGGAGAGCGGGGGCTCCCATCCTGCACCCATTCCTGCGGCTGATGCTCAGCTTTCAGCACACGGTCTCCCTCGCCGGAGCTGTGCACGAAGCTCAGCGTGTGCAGAAAAGCTTTGCCAGGGGACATCTGCAGTGCTCAGCCCTCCCTGCAGCCAAAACCAGCCTCGAGACAAGGGGTGTCGCTCCCCACTTACAAAGTGGGAGCGGACGACAGACCCCAGGATGGGTGTTGCAGAGCAGAAAAGCTCCAACTCTGCTCCCCTTCACACAATCCCCATCGCATGAAGGTATTTGGAGTCCCTCCTCCTCCCCTCTGCGGGAGATAAATAAAGTTTCCGACAGCGTTTTCCCTCTCCCCAAATTAGAGGTGAAGGCACGTCAATTCTCTTAAAGAACTGTGGCAAGTTCATCACCGAGCGCCACAAAAATTTGTCACGCTGCTCCCCGGGGCCCTGCTCCTGGCTTGTAGCATCCTCTAAGGCAAATGTTATTCTTTTCATAATACATGACAAGCCAGCTGGTAATCTTTCCAGAATATCCAAGCCAGATGTCACTCTTTCCGTTGTATACAATGAGTTTGCAGTCGTTGGATGAGACTCTAACTGCCAGGAATAAACCTTACTGGAGCCGGCCCATGGCTTCTCAGATTTCTGCTTTTAAGTGCCTGGGCAAAAAAAAGGAGAGGGAGCCAAGTCCATCTTAGTAGAAACAGGAGGAATTGGTGCCAAATTGCTGGCTGGCAGCTCGAGGCAGCAGGTGGGTCTGGCCAGTCTCTTCCTGCAAAGGCCAGACCTGGGCTGGGAAGAGCTGGGCTGGCAGCTGGGGCAAGGGATGGGGAAGGAGGACGATGGTGTGGGGAGCTGCAGAGCATAGCCTCAGCCAGCACGTTATTTTCCTGAAAGGCCTCCAAGTCAGAAAAAAAAAAAAAAAAAAGAGTGAAAAAGGGCTTAACAAAAATGAATTATATATACACACATATATCATATCCCAAACCCAGTCCAAGTGCTGGATTTCAAAGTTAGGGGGTGACAAGCTGGTTCTCTTTGATGCATCTAAAAAATACATTTGATTTCTGGGTGAAAAGACCAGAACGATGCCAAGGGGAGGCAGTCCCAGGGATCGGGGGGCTTCCATACCTCTCCTCTTCCCTGCTCGACTCCAGACACCTCCCAGGGGTGCCTGCGGTGCACAGACACCCCTGGTGCTTATCCCGCCCGTTTAGGGGACTTTGTGCATTGCTGCAGGGCCCATCCCATCAGCTCCTGGCTGCTAACTCATCTCCTAGCCTTGTTATCGTGCAGGAATTCAGAAGCAGCTTGCCAGTGCCAGCAAGACACCCTCGCTCTGACATTAAAAGTTACCTACACAGCAGAGGATTTTTTTGATTCGTTTTTTTTTTTTTTTTTTTTTTTCCGCTTGTTGGTGCATTGCAATTTTTTAAGCAGAAAAATCCCCAGAACAGATGCAAGGTGCCTAATTGGGTGCTAATTGTTCCCATCACCGCACGCCTATGAGAAGTCCAAGCCCGGCGCTGGTAATAACTCACCACCCATCAAAGCGAATAGTATCAGACTCTTGAATATTTCATGCAGAAAATATCCGAGATGCGGAGATTACTCAAGACGTGTTTTTCACAGGCAATTTACAGGGACCAAGGAAAAATGGCTTTAATAGACATGAGCATCGAGAGGCGGCTGGGAAACGCGCCTCTCCCCCCCCTGCAGAGCTGTGGATGTTCAAGAAGCTGCGACAACATGTGAAAACTCAGCAAGACATGAAAAACCTGTGGGCCCGCTGGGCATCCTCCTCCCAACGCTCGCTCTGCCTGCTCGTCCTGCTGGAGATGAATGCTTTCAAAGCCAGGAGATGCTGAGATAAAAAAAAATTAGCCTCAAACACCAAGAACAGTGTCCAGGTAATTCAAAGAGCCCTGGGGATGGAGATCAGCTAAAGAAATGAGAGGGAAGCTGGAGCAAAACTCCACTTTTCCGGGTGACCCTCTACCAAAGCTAGTAAATATTTCACGGGGGGAAAAAAAAAAAAAAAAAAAAAAAAGATCAATGGAAATATTTGTTTTATCCAGGAAAAGTTATCTGCCACCTCTGGAGACTGGAGTCACTTGTTCTGGTGTGAGCCAGGAGGGTTTTATTCCTGCTTTTAGTGAAAACCGTCTCGCTGCTGTAGCACAGCATCGCTCCATAGGATGGGCACTGGTCCCCCGACCCAAAGCTGCCCCTCACCCAGGGAGACGGGGGCAGCAGGAAAGAGGCAAAACCAGAAGGAATCAGAGCAAAGCAAAGGAGAAATCCCCAAATTAGAGAAAGCAGAGCGAAGCCAGCAAGAGGGAAAAAAAATGAGGACAAACAGACAACAGACCAACTGCTAAGTTAGGAGCCATTAATTAAGAAGTTTAGTTATCCATATGTATTTTTAGGACAGCACATCTTGATTCATCACAGCTAAGAGCAGTTGAAAGACATTTTTTTTTTTTATCCTCTTCCCTATGCTCAAACCCTATCATTACCCGGTAAGAGAAGGGAAGAATTAAAC